AATTAGGTAGCGCGACAGAGCGGGAATTACAGAGGGACCAGTGAATTCATTAAACCTTTAGTTAGTCGTTATAGAACCGGTACTCGCGCGCGCGAACGACCGTCGCCGTTACGGGAGGGAAAAGAGGAAAAACGGAAAACAAGAAAGGCGGGAGAGCGGTAGGAATATCGACAACTTCATTTGCAAGGATTATCAAAATGTTCCTTTTAACTGAACTATACGCTATATCCTTTGAAAATTATTCGATTGTATTTTTTATGAAAGGCACCTGTTAACTTCATAATTATTTCATAGAGGATTTCTCTCCATGCCGCATGCATGTAACTTTTGCTGTTGCCCTATTCAATATTTCATAAATGAACATTTTGCGCTGGAAAAAAAAAATGTCGAGCGTTCTCGTTCACGACACGATGATTGCAATGATTTGAAGAACGAGCCTCGGAGTAATGTCGGAGTAATTCACGTTCCACAATCCAGTTATTTCGTTTTCATCTCCACGCGAAATTGATCATTACCGTGATCCAATGTTGCAGCATATCGGCGATAATGATCGATGTTGCGTGAAAATCAGCGTCGAGATAACTCGGTTGCGAAAATACGAATATTTAGCGGCAATCACGCAAGTTTCGCGCGGAAACTAAAGCTCGCTGAAAGTTTCTCTCCACTCTGTTGTTCTATTTTCGCATGATTTACGAGCGGCGGTCCGCGAAACTTTCGAACGTGAGAACGGCGGATGGGAAGCATCTTCGAAGAAAAATGAAAGAAAAATAAAGTGGAAGAGATAAATCACGATTTGCTGGCGGCGGAAAATGCAATCGTGTCGAATCGTATGAACATTTTCTCCCTCCCTACTTTCGTATCCCTTAGAGAGATCTTAAAAATACATCCACGCAAATCATAAAATTATTAACATCCTGGATTAGATATCCAAATATATTTAATCAAGAATTATATAAAGAATATGAAGCAAACTAATATCTTAATTATTAGAAAAAAAAAGAAAAAAAGAAAGAAATTCTTTATAATGAAAAAGATTTATAAAACAAATTAATAAAACATCTCTCGTAAAAAGTTATATATAATACAACATGGGGCAGCTTGCTCTAAATAAATCTTGAATATCGCGAGAGGCACTCGTGCGGGCTGCAACGCGTCTCGCGTCTCGCGTTCTCCAGCCGGGGGCTACCAGCAGGATGTATGCGGCCCTGAGGAAGGGAGCACCACGATTTCGTCGGGCTGGCACGTATGCGGGACGTCGCGACGGGCGACTAGAAATCTACGCGCGAGTTCCGATGGTATCTCTCGCGCTCCGGGCCGAGAGTCGAGGCACCCCCTCGGCGACTACGGCACAGATCTCGCGCCATTACTCAGCCCAGCGAGCGGTGGTACGACCAGCACCGGCATAAAGCAACATAAACAGCAGGCCCTTGCGCGCGGGACGAGCGCGGCCGCCCATCGCGCGCGGGACACCGCGTAAAAATGAGTTGTGTCAACGTGCCCGGGGGGCCCCTGGCACGACCGCTTCACCAGGTGGCCCCGGCGGCTCGTTTTATTAGGTCGTTACGAGAGCTCGTCTGTTTTCGTGTAATAACTCCTGGTGGATCCTAGAAGGAAGGCAGAAAGATAGAGATAGAGACCGAGAAAGAGAAGAGGATGATGCGCGAGGATCGAACTCGGAAATCACAAGACTCGAGCGATCACACAGTTTGGGAAATCCCAATGAGAGAAGAAAAGGTCCTTATGACGTAAACTGTAAACATTCAAATGCGAAAATTCCGAGGACAAAGGATTTTATCAACATTAGAATAAAAACGTTAGTCTCTACTATTTAAAATACTATTTAAAATTTTTAGAAGGGCTTTCCGGCTCTTATATCAATGGAATTTAGAAGAGAAAAAATCTAAAAAGATGTAAGAGATTTAAAGGTTTAAAAATATCACAGAGGTTTAAAATTATATTCGAGGAACGCCCGGGGGGACCGCGGCTCGCTAATTATCGCGGAGATTTTTGTCAGCGCCAGGCGCTCGCTCGCTCGTCCCTCGATAGATCAATTACTGGGATTACACCGCGCTGCATTACGTTGGGCAGCGCACGTCCGGTGCATTCCTGTAGCCACAGCTCGCGTAGACGCGGCTATCGATTCGAGATGATTAGCGATAATGTCAAGGGAATCCGGAGGCACGTCCGCGACGGCTCCGTGACCAAGGCGCGCCTTCTGTGTTCGGCTGCGGTCGCCAACGTATAGCCGCCGATCTACGTAACTATGATTCCACCTAATTGAAGTAACCACAGGGCGCAACGCGCCACGTTATGCCGGCGAATCGCAATCGACCGCGAGACGGGAGAGGAGAGAGAGAGAGAGCAGCGGATGCCTCTTCTCCGCGCGAGCGAAGAGCGACCGCGAGGCTGCTTTGGGAGAAGTGGCAGTGGCGGATTCCTCGATAGGTGACGAGGATTACTTTAGAAAATATGTACGATATTTTATCGCAAAAAGATAAAATTTTTAATTCCATAAAAACTTTCAGATTCTTTTATCCTTTAGAATCCTTTTTTCTTATTTTTGTCTTTTATTATTATTATTTTACATGGAAAGAACGGGTTTGCTAGAGTATTTAAAAATTTTACACCACATGCACAGGTCTGAAAATAATTTTGTTGGACCGTTAAAATTATAATTATGTAAGACGCACAATTATGTAAGCGTGAAGATATTATTGTAAAAAATTTTTAATATTTTTACAATAATAATACGAACGTGGAAATGCATAATTATTTTGATGGTCTAACCAAATTATTTTTAACCGTATATCATATATGAAATTTTTAGATACTTCGGCAAGATTATTCTTCCCGTTAAATATTGATACAAGAAAATAAACAAAAATGTAAATGTATATATTGCGATTTGCAATATATTCGTCTTTATTATAAATTAAACGTCATGAAATACCAAAATATCGTCTATTGTTGAATAATTAAAACTTCAAACGGCTTTCATCGCGCATTAATTTCCCGCCTTGAGGCTCCACGTTTGTCGGATCCGCCACTGAAAAGAGGGAGACGAAGAGCACGGGGGAAGAAAGGAAGATGCGGAGGGCGCAGAGGAAAACGGCTGTGTGGATGACGGTGGGCGATCCACGTCGGCGATATCCCATCAGACCGTCAAATGACCGCCTCCCGTGTTTCTGCGTCTCTACAGCCCCTGCATTTCCGCTCGCACGTGCCGGATCGACGAGGGGATCCTCGGCTCCGGTTCTTGGCCCGAGAGTACTCCCTGTATCTCGCAGTTGTCATTACTGGATACCGATCAAGAGATGAGAGAACGCGCGCACATGGTAAGAAAAAAGATCTATCGATCTAATGTTCAAGCAGCAATTACAAAAACAACTTTGTGGAGTATCCAAACATTTTAATTTGGACACGTGACTCCCAAAGTTCTCTCTCTCTCTCT